TCAGCGGCCCAGTGAGGAGTGGAACTAGCGTCAGATATAATTTCTGGCGGGTCCACGGGGAGCGAGTATATATGGCTCACACGTCTGGCTCGGTGGAATTGGGTGCCAGGGTCCCAGTTATTCGACGGGGCCATAGGGCGCCGTCCTTCCCAGGGGGCCCCACTGGGGAGCGGCTCCCGTCAGCATTGGTTGCCGCGCGGCGCACCGGAGCGTCGGCGAAAGCCGGGAAAGTAGGCAAAAGTGTAACCTTTGTGCTTTACGGACCCGCATTGTTGGATCTTCCCGGGCAGCCAGTCCACATATGCCGCCACCCGTCCACACTGCCGCGCTGGGCTCGGCCCGCCAAAGTCGCCGCGGTGCGCGGGCTCGGGGTGGACCGGGCGGCGGTCGGGCGGGCCGGGCATTTCCTCTGCCCCGCCGCGCTCCCGCGAGCACCACTTCCTCCTCGCCCGCCGCCGCCGGGAGCCCGGCCCTCCCGCCGCCCCCGCCCGGGCCGCACTTTTCGGGTGGGGCGAACCCAAAAGAAAAAGTTTCGCAGGAGGGGTGGCCAGGGCGCGCCCTGGGCTGCGGGGACCCGGCGCGGCGCCGCTCCCGCTGGGCCGCCGCGATCGCTCCTTCCTTCTTGTGCTCGGCGGCAGGACGGACCCCGCGGCCGAGGGGCAGCGCCTTTCTTTCTCTCCCTCGCGCTCCTCCAAGCCCCGGGGCAACTTGGGCAGAGGCGCGCGGGAGCCGGGGCGCGCCGGGGCCTTTCTCCAGCGGGGGCCCTGCGGCGTGGCGGATCGCCCGCAGCCCAGGCAGCGCCTTGGTGCTGTGAGGCCTCGTGGGCTGGGGAGCCCCGTGCGGTCACAGCCGGTCGCGGCGAGACACACAAGCGTCCACACGCTCTCCCGTGCCTCGCTTTCCGCCGCCGCGGACGGTCGCGGGCACCGAGTGTGCGTGTGCGTGTGCGTGAGTGGTGATCGCTCACACCCCGGCTCCCGAGTAATTTTTCCGGAGGCGGCCCAAGCCGCAGTTGGCTCCAGGGGGCCCCACGTTTAGTAATTTACATGGAGAAGGAGAGATTTTTCGTAGAAATCCCGCTTGTTCTGCGTCCTTGCGGGGGAAGGCTGCTGGCAGTGGCCTGCGTCGTCATGCTGGGCTCTCTTGCCCTATCCGGGCCAAACAGATCTTTCTGGATCCCTCCCCACCCCACAATTTTCCTTTAAAGATGGGAGGTCGGGTTAAGTTCTTAGAGAGTCAGATGTGAGTGGCTTGAAGGGTAGACAAGAGAATTCTATAAATATGCATTGGGAATTTAAAATGCTAAGTGCCTTATTTGCAATTCTGTTGGATATTCTAGCGACTCGTATATTTTTATCTGACATGGATAATTCGGAGGGGACACGTATTTTGGTGAGTTTACACAGCGACTCTGCCTCCTGACTTTGGTGAAATATATCAAACTCTCCTACTGGTCTTTCAAAGAATATCTTCCCTCTAGGTCCTTGGATTCAAAGGCATTTTAAGAATTACCTCGTGTTCAGCACCTAGACTGCTGTGCTGCCTCTAGGGCTCTCCCAGTGGGCTTAGCTTCCAGTACTTCCGGGGACTTGCACTGGTTTGGGAATTTTTTTACAAATCTTTTACGTTTTGAGGTAATAGGACTTTAAAAGATCTTGTTTTTGTAGTCATTTGATTTCAAAGAGTACTTCTTACAGCAATTATAAAGTGATATTCAAAATGCTAATTAAATGCTTTCAGTCAGAGCAGCTTTAATATTGAAACGGGGTTTTTTCTTTATGGTAGGTAACAGGGGCAGCATCCTAGAGTGGAAACACTAACTATCCTTTTGTCTGGCCTCAGATCTCTGAGCTGCGCTGACACTCTCCTGTAAAAACCCCGGGTGCCCTTTTTATTGCCCCCCAAAGAAAAGTTAATGAGACTGTAGGTTTCAAGCAAAAAAGCAGGCCCTCCTTGCAAAATATGCTTACAGTTGCCATTGAAGTTGGATGTTAGCTGTGAATGCACCAGCCTTTAATGAAACCAGTTTAATCGTTCACACTTGATCAAGTATAACAGGACCAAACAAAGGAATAAGCCAGCATATTTCTGTCGAGCATTGAGGGGTTTAGTGTAAGTGTTGATGTCGGGTCACCCCCTCCCCCCGCTCTGCCCCAGTACAAGGGAGGGAGGCTTGAAGGCAAAGGGAATTTATGGCTCTGATTGGTTTTCTGTGCCCCAGGGGTAAGGGTCCCAGTTTGCCCCGGTAGAAAGTAGTTATTAGAGGGAATTTAAAATCTGGAGTTTGGAGCTTGCTTTGAACCTGACAAGGTGCTTTTTGGTTTAAATCTTTTTCCTGTTTGGAATGATGAGGCTAAGGGTATGTGGTCGCCCTTCTTTCTAATTGTACCTTAATGAGGCCGAGGGGAGGGCGAGGTGGCTCTGCAGATTGCGCTCTGGGCCCTGTGTTATTTACGACTTCATTTGGGATCTTTGAAACTGGCCCTTGAATGGGTGTTCTCCTGGGGGAGGGGCAGGGTGAATTAACCTTTTCTAACTGATTTTAAAAACCCTTTGTCTCTAACATGTATTTTTTCCCCGCTCAGCACGGTAGGACTTAGTCTTTGACTTAGCAAAGAAACATTTGCAAAGTGTGTCTTTACAAAGTTAAGAAAGTAAAAAAGTTTGGTCACGTAAAAGCGAACATCACTAGCATTGTAAAAATACACCAGCGACATACTTAGGCCTTTTCAGACGACTCGACTCGGGGCACACCTGTTCCTGTCCCTGGCATTGTTGGTCAGGTCGTGTACACAAGATGAAGCAGGAAAGCTTGCTCTCGGGGTAATTATTAACTGCCCCTCCGCTCCCCTTTCAGGGAATAATCAATAGCTTTACTCTTGACTCTTAAAACTCCAAACAAAAATCCTATTCATAAGCCTGAAAAGTGTTTTAAAGAGAGATGAAATGAAGAAAAAGAAACAGCCATCACCACAACAAACAGAACTACAAAACCAGCGTGTCACTGTGTCAGCGTTTGAGTAGCCGGCCATGAGGTACGCAGAGGGGGAGCCTAGGAAAGATGCGCTGGATTTGAAGAGGCTGTTTTGCTGGGAACTAAAATCAGAAGCAAAGGGAGCTTCTCCAATTAAAAACAAAAAGGACGGCCATCTCTCCAGAGAGGCCCTGCGAGGCCAGCCCGAGCGCCATTGGCCCGCCGCCCTCTGCGCTGTGAATCATTTCTGAAGGCACAGCTCTACCCTTCGCACTTAACGCTTTCCCTAAATGGAGAAATGTAAAGAGTTTACGGCCACGGGAGAGTGGCCACCCCAGTTGTCATTTTTTACCTCTTGTCACTTCACTGCAGAAGGCTGTCACCATAATGTATGTGAGTGCAGCCTGGGTCCTTCTGTTAATAATCTTTCTATCAGTGAGGAGCAGCAGCCAAGTGTCCCCTGTCCCCGATAACAGCCACGAATATATACCCTCCAGCACGCGGTGGGAAAGGACGTTTATCTGGTGGGGAGGGCGCCTCAGCTACGCTCCCCCCATGCTCTGGCTGATGGCAGGGGTGGACCACATTGTTGGAGTCATTCAAAAATTGGAGTGCGGGTTGCCTGACCCTTTGAAGAGAAGTGCTTGTCCTTAACAGAAGCGATCGTATAGTGAAATATCGGGGGGGGGGGGCTCATTTCCCCCAAAACCTCTGTGAGTCACTAGCTGAGGAGTGCTAGTGTGGACTTGACTGAAACTTGCGGTGGCACATGGCAGTGCTGGCAGGGCTGTGCTCCGGGCTTCCCGCACAGCTGGCCAGCATGCCCTCGTTCCCACTGCGGTCACAGCACTTCGGGAGGAGGGGAAGGCAAGGCTTCTCCCCCAACCTGATCTTTTGAAGTTAATTTTTATTCAAGTCTGTTTGATGGAATATGTATCAAA